TATATATATATATATATATTACCAACTATGACTACAGAGCCTACAGTGAAATGTGCTTCCAACTACTATTTAGTACTTCACTAGAGTAATTAGATTTCACATAATTTTCTATCCCATAAGATACTTTCACTACTGTCAATCTTGCCTAAGTAGCCCGATTTGTTATTCAGGAGAGAGAAACCACTTTAATATTCATAATCCACATCAAACTATGGCTGATGAAGTATGCTTGTTCACTGTGCTCATGAAGGCCCAACCATTATGATCAACAATAACAATAATGCTATTAGGCCCTCTCTAGAATGAGTCATCATTCATGCCAGATATAGAGAAAGCATAATGTTCAAAACTGAAAGTTAGAAGAAACTAATAATCTATGATTTCAACGCAGGCAACTGATCCAACAGCAAAAAGCAAGGAAGTAAGAAATTTTTTTTTTTTTGTAAATGAACCCCCAAGGGTTACTTGGTTGATATCACCACAATCCTATACCCAGGAGGCAGGAGCAGAAAGATTTAGGAAAGGCTCTGTGTTCCTAAAACAAAACCTTTAACATGAGAATAAACCAGATCACAACTCAAAGCTATGCAACTAGAAAGTGAAACTGTAATAAAACCAGGCTCTAGAGCAACATCCTAAATGAAGTACTTCCATTTTATCTCAAGTAAAAACTACAATTGTTTATTTGGATTGAGCCCCACCCTCTGTTGTGATTCAGTCATAAGCACTGGTAAATCTCTGAAGTTACCACAGATACTGATTACTATTGCTGGAGACTCCCCATCTCCCTGGACCCAGGAGGATCATATTTTCTGGCTCCCATACCTTAGGGTGCCACTCAATTAATTTGGATCAAAGAAATGTGAACAGAGTACTAATACAGCTTCTGGACAGAGTTGGCCTGAAGATTGGCCCATAATTCCCTATCTCTATTATCACAATGAGATGGTCCATTGGCCCATATCCTTCTGTCACTGACACGAACTAAGCTCCAGCCCTCCAGTGAATTTCTGTGAATATGTGAAATGAGCAAAAAAACAAATCCTCCTTGTTTTCAGAGGCTGAAATTTGAGGGTGACTTATTAGTTATATCATTACACAGCATACCTATCTGATAGTAACTGTGAATATAACAAATTACCTGATGCCATAAGAAGATGATCTCTTCTACTTCCCCTAATTGTATTCCAGAACACTTCATCTTCTCTTGGCATTACCAAGAATGAGAAACAATATTTCTTTCAACACGGATTATAACACCCAGCATACTTGGGAAAAATAGAGAAATGAATTTAAAATATAATAAAGGAATGATTGTGCTTAGCTTTTAAATATTTGTTGAATTGCATCCATCAATTCTTAGGAAAATTGACTAAGGGAAACCAAAGGTACAATGATGAAATTAGTCCTTGTACATAGAATTTATATGATAAGACTGAAAAGAACTAAAATACAAAAATGTCTGCCACTCTCCTAGGAAATTCCATTACATTTCAATAATATTATTAGATCTTGGAAATGTTTATTGTTTTTAATATCTCAGTATCTCATAGTTAATTGAACCTTCTTTACATTTTTTAATTACCAAATCATTCCCTTGTCAAACTGCTTTCTAAAGAGCTCCAGAACTCATTTGCTATCATACAGAGTGAAATCTTTATTACAATTTCTAATGGTGTGTTATAGCTTAAAATCAAATTCTTATACAGAAGC